TTCTTATCCTCTCAATCCTCTCAAGTTCATTCATTTCTGTTGCAATTGGGCAGCATTGTGCTTTATTGGTGAATTTGTACTTCGCAATTGGTCCGGGTCATAACATGACAAAGAAAGGAAAAAAGAACCTTCTGAAAAGAGCGAGGCGAAGGAGGTGGGATCTCAAACTGGTAGGCGGTCGAGTCGGTGATACCTTCTTCGGACGTTGGAGGGATGCTAGCACCTCAACCTCATCGACGATTCCGGCAATCGTCGCGTAGTCCCCAGCAGCAAACGGATCATGGTTATGGTCTGTGCGGCCATCCACCGGCAGCGTTACAGTCAGAGCCCTTTGCACAGGCATTATCACACCGACAGGCATCATCCGCTTCAGATATGCGAAGTCTTGAGAGATTGTGATCTGTCGGGATCGCGGCTGGCCGCCGTAAAAGCAAAGGCGAATCAACTGCTCGATCAGTGCTTCAAATTGATTGAACAGAACCTTATCCCTCTCCGTCTGAAGTTTAAGCCGTGAAGCGGTGATGATCTCCGCAGCCACTTCTCGACGGGCCGCAACGCCCGACTTCGACACCGCGGCCATTGTCCATAGCGCCTGCTGCGGGTACAGCTGGATGACAAGCTTGATGATCTCCTTCAGGTGCTTGACGACCTCCTCATTGCGATGACAGATTCTCGAAACCAACTGAGGGAACGCCGTGAGCCACTGATAGGATGGAAGATCCTTGATGCACCCTCGGATTATCGCACAAATCTGTGAGTGTGCACAGAAAAAAAAAAGAAAAAAAAGAAAAAAAGAAAAAGAAGAGTCAATCAACTGAACGCCGGTCAGCACAATCAAAAGCCCCACCCATGATGAGTGTTGAAAGACAAGACCTCAATTCAGATCCCGATCAACTCAGAGTAGTGAAGTAACACTGAATTTTCCTGGGGCTCGTCGGTTTGAATTTTGAAAATGATACCCCAAGGACATCGCCGTTGCCTTTTTTTTTTTTTTTTTTTTTTCAGAAAAAGCACCCATAAAGCGAGCAAGGAATTGGGATTATCTTTGCAGATCTTTAAACCACCACTACCTCCAAGTCTCCTTTTGCCGAGGCAGATTCCCCCTGCGCGGCGCGCTAAAGAAACAACACATTTGGCCCAGTAGCGCTGTTCATCCGGAGAGCCCGGATTGTCGCATTTCCAGCAACGTGGTTGAAGCACGGAGCACCCGGTCCGCACGTTTATGCCTGGGTGGTTGGGCATGCCTAGCCAATTCGCTCCCAGGCCATCACTGTCTGAATCAGGCCTGGGCGCAGACACTTTGGCCGAGACTGAAGCTACTGGAAACTCGGCCTCGCGTGGGAAGCAAGTGGAATTTGCCCGCCACTTTCCATATAGGAAAGGGCCGGGCTCCACGTTCGGCAGTCGGGCACTTGCAAGCAGATGCGGCAGCGCTGCTGGAGCTGGCGCTCGCGGCCTTCTGCGCTAATGCGTGGGCAAGTGTGCGCGCGCGTGCGGTCGTGCGAGAAGGCAGGGCGCTGCTGAGGGCAGCGCCATAGCCAGCCCCACGTAGCCGGGGCTCGGCTTGGACATAGCCAGTGGAGGTGGTGGTGGTCTTCGTGTATGGGAAGGAAGACGCGGGAGTGGAAGTCGAGGGTGAGTGAGAGCGAGATGAGGTTGATGATGTGAGGGCACGCACCTGGTCTTGGCGATGGTCTACAAGGTCGACATCTTCATGAACTTCGGTTGTTGCTGCTGACGTCAACGGGAATGCATTGTCATTTCGTAGGCTGCTAGTAGCTGTGTAGTTACGTAGTAGTCTGGGCGCTGAGCGCCAGATAGGAGGAAGGACTCTGGATACATATATGTTGGTGGTGGCGAGAGTATGCTCTCATTGACATTGGGATTCGGCGCTTTGGTTCTTCGTTGGTGGTATATCAGTGCATTTCTGCTTACAGAACAGCTTTGAATCTTTTTTTTTTCTTTCTTAAGAAATCAAAACAGGTCCTTATGGTCAGCTTTGGACTTTCTGGCTTTCAATCAAATTCAGCCATTTCAACATGATTTTGCATTCTGGATTTCTGTCATTTCGCTATGATCGCTCATTTTCCTTGCAAAAGGGTGCAACCTTGTGATATTATTATTGAACTGACCGGCCCCAGGTAATTCAGAGATTCAGAATGATATTATTCTGGTCATCTGATTGTATCTGGATTCGAACTTGGGTCTGTGTTTCAAGTTTCGACAGTTCATCAGTGTACCAACTGATTCCTTTTTTATAGAGACAGAGACAGTTGGATTTTTTTGGTTAACACAGCATAAAGCCTTATAGGCTGGACTACTGTCTTCACCTGAATACAAAGCCCGATCATTATCGCTGTACGTAGACTGAAAATTGCATCACCAAATACGACGGCTATAAAGACCGGGCATTCTATTCGGGTGAAGATGGTAGGCTGCTGGCAGCTTTATTCTTTGCTAAAACAGACCACATGGTATAACACAGGGGGTAAAGCGTTACATACCGTTGTCCCGGTTCCTCAACAAGAATTTGAGCCCATGATCTAATGTGTGATCTACACGTCATGAGTCCTCCGTACACAGTATGAAGTACCGTGAACCATTGGCTCGACACGGTACAGCTCTTTTGTTCTTTTTCCTTCTCTCACGCGATGCTAATCTTCTCTGCATCACGCCGATATTAACGGATGTTCCCAAAAAGCACATCTACCTGAAACTTTATTTTTGTGTTTCATTTTTTTCACTGACGATTATTTCTTGATTTGTGTGTGGCATCCTTGCACAGGGGAGCCCATGCCAATGTTCTCTGTACGGTACTGCCGTTCCGAATTTACCGGATCTCCTGATGAGCCATCTCCCTGCATTTGCTTTCTTCTTCCTTGAAAACAAAAAAAAACTGGACTATTTCTTCTTTTTTCTTTTTCTTTTTCTTTTTTCTTTTTCTCTTTTCTCCTGCATTCGTTTTCTAATGGCAGCATGACCCCAAACTTCCATGAGAAAAGCACATAGGCAGTTTTAACTCTGCAGAAACTGAAGGGGCAGCCTCTTACAGGCCAACACGACTTATTCAACGCCGCCGTTGAAGATACTTGTAGTGAAAAAGTCGCTGCGAAGGCTCAAGCTCGTTGTGCAAGGGGTTCACTGTGAATAGCGAACCCTGCATGTGTTATGTTAGTAATAACTAAAGTTACGTCAGTTAAGTTACCGCAGATAGTAATAACTAAAGTTACGTCAGTTAAGTTACCGCAGATAGTAATAACTAAAGTTACGTCAGTTATGTTACCGCAGATAGTAATAACAAAAGTTACGTCAGTTAAGTTACCGCAGATAGGTTAATATTTTACTTAATACAGTTCAGTCAGTACAGCTGAGTTACTACAGCTCAGGTGGTGCCGTAACGTTAGTGCAGCCAACTGAGGTTGGTAGGTTAGTACAGCCAACTGAGCTCAGTTGGTACCATTAAGTTAGCACGGCTGATTGAGTACAGCTAATTCAGTACTGCTACCGTCTTCACCCGAATAGAACGCCCGGAAATTATAGCGGTATCTGGACTGAAAATTGCACCAAATACGGCTATAATGACCGGGCGTTCTATTCGGCTGAAGACGGTAGGTTAGAACAGCCAACTAAGGACTGTTAACATGCGTTGGAACAAACAATCTGTGCTAGGTTAGTAACTACAGTTCAGAACAAGTGGGCGTAACGGGGACCACCACTTTCATCTCCTCGGTAAAGCAATCAGACTCGCTTCCTTTCCACTTCGCACACATGCAAACAGATGGAGACTCACACTGGCGCAGGGCGCCCACTCAAAGCTTAGAGATATGGAAGTCAAGAACACAGTTCAGATGCAAGTTCTCTTCAACAGGCTATGGTGCATCAGCGCTTGAACATCCCAACCTTCGTCACTGTGTCCAACCCCACTGTTCACACACGCTCACTCCGGATCACCCTGGATACCACCACACACATACACTATTTCTAACTTCCTCCTACAGCGGCTATGGCCGCACTACCACTACTGACTATGGCTACGATCTCCCTTCAGCCCACTTCGTCTTCGGGCAACCTGCAGACCACCTTCGCACAAGACGCTGTAGCAGTGTTTCCGCATGGCTTACGCAGCGAATCAGTGAATGGCTGGGCGCTGCCTCTTGATTTGTACTTCTGTAACTCGTTGGTCTGCCCCTTTCCCAGGCCCTTGGTGCACACAGTCCCACACGGTACTTGCTTGACTGGACTCTGACTGACTGGGACCGGTGCCGCTGACTGCATGGGTTTGCACTGCCAACTCGATGCAGTCGCACTGCCGACGTAACGCAGTTGGCTCACCACTTGCCCACTTGCCTCTGACTAAAGGCCCACCACTTGCCCACTTGCCTCTGACTAAACGTGGGACACCTCGAAATGCCACTTCCGGACCTTCCGGAAGGCTGTGGACTTGGCCTTTCGGGTACTGTAGCAGCTACGACCTTTACCTTTCAGGACTGTAGCAGCTACGACCTTGACCTTTCAGARCRTCTACAGCCACGACCTCTACAGAGCTGTGACTCCTAATSGACAGACCTACAGATCAAACCCCTACCGCTACACAGACCTACGACAGACGACAAACAACTACCAAAACACAGATCACGGGTTCAAACACTCAGGGGTCGACTCGATACTGTACATGGGCAAAGTGAGGTATGGGGATCGAACTCTATCTAGGGCCCGCATCCGTGACTGCCGAAAGGTGAAAACCGTTTCAGTAACGGGTCGAAAACTGAAATTAGGGTTTGGGCCCTTGGGAGTCAAATTTTATGTTTTTTCTTAGCCTGTTTTTTTTGTTTTGGTTCAAGGTTGCTGTGTGCCAAATTGGTATCATTTGGTTTGGGGCATTGGAAGTTTTTTCCTCCGCTGAGATTTCTGAAATTTCTCAAGACTTCTGAAATTGGAATGTTGGAAAAATTTCATGAAAGTGCACTTTTGCCTTGCTGTTTTATAGGTTTTTTTCGTTTTTTTTTCATTATTTCTTTTCCCCCCAAGTACTTAGTATGATCCCCACTCTATGAATTGGTGGCAAGTTTGGTTAAAATGACCCCCTTGGGTTTTGTTATAAAAAATCGCATGAGAAGTTGTTATATGAAAATTAGTCAGTGCAGTTAGGTCAGTACAGTTAAGTTCATACAGTTAAGTTCGTACAGGTAACTTGGTAAGTTAGGCACACAACCAAGTTAGTAAAGCTAAGTTGGTACAGTTAATTCAGCGCAGGTAACTCAGCACAGTTAATTAAGCACAGTTAATTAAGCACAGTTAATTAAGCACAGTTAATTCAGCACAGGCTAAGTAGTATTTACCTGCCTTGGAAAAAAACATGTGTTACGTCAGTAACTACAATCAGTACAGTTAAGTTAGTACGGTCAGGTGAGTGCAGCTAAGTTAGCACAGCTAAGTTAAGTTAATACATCTATGTGGGTACGGTTCAGTTAGTACGGTTAAGTCCGTACTGCTAAGTTAATAAGTTACAAAAAACTTACAATAGTACTTAATACTAGTTAATAGTAAGTTAATACTGCTAATAAGCTCGTGCAGCCAAGTTCACACTGTTAACCTGCCTTGGAACGAACGATCGCACTGTGAAGGACTGCGATTGAGGTCGTTGCACTATCAGGCAGTCAACAGGATCCAGCAGAGTACTTACTTTCGCACTGGTAACCTGCCTTGGAATGAACGATTGCACTGTGAAGGACTGCGATTGAGGTCGTTGCA